CACTGAAAAACTCTATCGTGCAATCTATAAAATAATCTCAAGTCACATTCGGAGAATATTCTTCTCATCTATGCATTCTCCCAAGCATCAGAAAAAAAAATCTAGTATCGCCCGATTCATTTCGATTAATAGATTTTTACTTGATTACAATAACTTGGTAACGACAGTGGAAATCTAGTAATCGTTTCTCCTCAGTTGCAACTATCTATTATTCCAAAAACGCTTTACATATGTGCTGAAGAAACGTCTGTTTTTGCTTGAATAACACTGGCTTCGCGTGGAAGAATGCTAACTGTGCTGACGAGGAGACCTTCAGGCGCAATTGGAGTTTTCCAATGGAACCCATTGGAATAGGCAGCCTACCTGGTGGTATTATAAAGCCTAAGAGGATTTCTTACGAAAGCTCTTGGTTAAAAAATTAGAGCATTTTTAGCGATTTTCCCAGCAGAAAATGGTCAAAATAGAAAAATTCAAAACTCAGTCGTACAAAATCGTCCATACTTAAACCTTTTGTAGTAACTAGGTCTATCTAGGTACTAGCCATGCTGAAAATTTCAGAAGGCTGGCGCATTGGCCCCCTGATTTACGAATCTTGTATAGCAGCAGCGAAAACTGCATGTGTATTATCGCAGAGAGAAACATACGCTTTTCAGATGAGGTCACTAACAAACTTCGTCATTCTTCTACCATACTAAGGCTTCTCACAAGGCAAAACTCCTTGAATATATACACCATAATATCCTATATAAGGTGCACGTAATTCAATCGAAAACTGAATCGACGGATGTGTATTTCTAACTTTTTAATTCATTTTCGTTTTCGGGTGAAAATCTCAATGATTTTTCAACGCGAAAATTCGAAAAAAATCAAACTATTCGGATAGGACAGAGATAGACATCCGTCGATTCAGTTTTCGATCTTGATTCCGAATATGATATTTTTATTACATAAAAGTTGAGTTTTGATGGAGACAATTGAGAATTACGAGCAGAATTCCGACCTTTTCGCCTCAGATTCAGAAAAAATGAATTTTTTCAGCTTGGAATTAAGATCCAGAAAATGTTGCAAAATGACGAAAAAACAATGCTCAGCATCTTTCCTGACGGTGTAACGATTCGAACGACATATGCAATATGCCTTCGTCGATTAACCAAAAAAACTAGGTTTACGATCGGAACAGTGCCCAGGTTCTTGACCTTTCATTAAATGCAGAAATGTTCAGCCCACGTTATATGCGAACAATATCGAATTTACGTTTTCTTATTCAGTTTCTCATGCTGAATAAGAAGAAAAAAACCGAAAAACTACAAAACATAAAGAGAGTTTGAAAAATCAGTTTTATTGTAATAGTGTTCGTTCTTGACTACAATAAAATTTTCAGTTTTTCGAAAATTTTCTTCTTAAAGATCCAGTTCCAAAGGTCTAGACATATATATTCCGACTCAGCTCAACGAGCTCTATCCAACCAACTATCCAAGGAGTTTCGCCTTGTGAGAAGCCTTAGCATGGTAGAAGAATGACAAAGTTCAAATATAAAAAAGACTAAACTATTGTAAAGTTCTGCTATAAACTATTGTAAAGTTCTGCTGGGAAAATCGCTAAAAATGCTCTAATTTTTTAACCAAGAGCTTTCGTAAGAAATCCTCTTAGGCTTTATAATACCACCAGGTAGGCTGCCTATTCCAATCGGTTCCATTGTGCGATTGCATCTGAGAAGGTCTGCTCGTGAGTAATTTGACGTCTAATGCAATGGTATCAATATTTTTAGCGAAAGGAATAGACGTTCGACCAATATAAGAACGAATGGTTATTTGATGACGGTCATATTCTATTCGTGCACCGATTCCATTGCACCAATCTGATCCAAGAATGAAGTTGGCATTTAATGATTTAACGGCTGATGCTGAGATAGGAGTAGTAGCATTTTTTACGCAAATATTCAGATTAATTTCATCCAACACATGAAGCAAGATGTTCAGTTTGTAACATGGACATTTCCGTTTCTGCTAGAGGAAACAGTGGCTATATAAACATGTTAAAACAGTCAAACACCAAATTTAACGGAAATTAACGGAATCGATAAAAATGGTTTAACATCTCCATCTTCTTGCCTATGCATGGCATGGCCACGTAACTCTGCTACCGTAGTGAAATTTCATGACGAAATGTTGACGTTTTATTGTTTTTCTGTTTTTTTAATGAAACAACTGTCAGAGCTATGCAACACATACAACGGTTAACTAAACTTTTCTGAATTAAATGAAATGTATCGGGTTCTATGTGATCTTTCGTTTAGAAAATACGAAATACCCTTTTCTAACTTAACTAAAAAACAGTAGCGTTTAGTATTTTCTTTGTATTTTCTAAACAAAAGATCACACAGAACCCGGACCCGTTTCATTTGATTCAGAAAAGTCTACTTAACCGTTGTATATGTTGCACAGCTCTGATAGTTGTTTTGTTAAAAAACTAGACAAAGAATAAAAACGTCAACATTCCGTGGCTAAATTTCCCTGTGTAGTTAAAAAAACTAAATTTCCCTACTGTGTAGTAGTTTGTGGTAACTGTTGTTGTTGTACACGATCGTAGAATTGTAACTTTGCCTGGTCATACGTACTGAGTTTCTTATTTTCACCGGCATTGCTGTGGAAGCCTGCAGCCATGTGTAAAGCCAAATCCGTTTCACATTCGAAAGTTGAAGTGCACTGTTGTTCTTGACAGAAATATATGGGACTGTACTGACGATCCGAGCGTTTACCAGTGGCAGCATTGATAATAACTAGTGGTTTGCTGGTTTTATCGGCTCTTTCTACAGTTTCTGTGTCAGTCAAATTGTTGTTAAACGTTTGCGAGGTATGCGGCCCTAACTTACCCTTTCCTGTACCACTTCCTTTTAGAATAAGCATGCCATCGTCTGTATATTCAATACTACGCCCTGAACTCACTTCTGAGATTGATCCTTTTGCCAATAGTTGTCCTTTTCAGCAACAAAAACTTTTGAGTTTTTGATACCTAAAAATGTAAAAGAAACGAACGCTCCGCTAGGAAGTCTGTTCTTGATTAGGCGATCAGCTAAAGTGGATTTGATAGGAGTCCTACGTTAAAGTTACTTTTAGCTAGAAGTAACTTGTAACTTAACTAAAAGAGTTACTTGTGAAAGGAAACTAGAAGTTTTCTTCGTGTGCTGCTATTCCAGCCATTGCAGTAGCATTCCCACCTAGTACGCCTGCATTGTCACTACGTTTAATCATTTTTGTTATTTACGGATGATCTTGATAAAAAGCTTTAAATGCAAGTTGTGCAGCGGAAAGTGTCCTCTGTTCATCCTGGTTGGAATAAGTAAGCGTTACGATGTAAGTGTAAGCTTTCAGTACCAGGTCTAAAGGAAAAAAGATTAATTCAATTCATTACTCGTTTCACAGACAGTGTGGAGACATATCCCGATCGGGATATACTCCCAATCGGGATATCATTTTTTGCAGCAAAATTTTTTTTATATCCCGATCAGGATATAATTCAATATCCCGATTGGGATATCAAGAAAATCTATATCCCAATCAGGATATCAAGAATTTTAATTTTTAATTTGTAAGAAAATGATAAATTTTAATTATATGAGAGCTGAATATTCTTCTCCTTCTCTTTATTCCCCCTCTCTAATGTTCGTGGTAGTGTCTTTTGTTTTCTCCAGCTGATCGAAGAGATACATATATCTGTTTAACAGACGTAAATAGATTTCTTCTATTATGCATCTTTCATATGTGAGTGTAGTATCAAATATAATAGAAGATAGAGAACAAAGTCGTTAACATACACACTTACATCTACCATACATTTGTAAATTTCTTTTCTTCTTCGTCTTCTTATAACTATCAATAATTCACTTGATTCAATTGTATGTTATTAACAGACGTAAATAGATTTCTTCTATTATTCATCCTTCACATGTGAGAGCAGTATAGTCATAAAAGATAGAAGACAAGGTTGTCACCACGCACACTTTCATCTACCAAACATTTGTAACGTTCTTTTCTTCTTCGTCTTCTTATAACTATCAATAATTCCCTTG